GACCGCTTCATTCTCGTCGATCCCAAGCCGGAGACCGACCTCCCGCCGGAGTACGAGGAGATAGCCCGACGCGGCTTCTTCGACGAGGATACCCTACAATGGGCGCGGGACGACTACCTCCGTGACTAGATGGTCCGGCAGCGCCGGGCCCTCGAGGAGATAGAAGCCCGCAAACGTGGGCGTGAGGACGAGCACGGCGTCGTGATCCTCGATAGCGACGACGACGGGGAGGACGCCCCCGGACCGTCCAACCCGCCGCGCCAACCGGGGGAGGGATGCAGCAGGGACGGCGGCGGACGCGGCGACGACGACGACAACGACGACGGCGGCGACTACACGCGGTTCTACAGCCTCCTTGGCATGTAGAACCGAAAGGGCGGGCGGCGGGCGGTGAGGGAGACGATGATGAGCGGCGATGGAGATGGCGAGGAGCAGCCCCTAGTAGTTTTTTTTCTTTTTTGTAAAATATGTTTAAATTTGAACGAACTCGCTGAAGTTTGCGTTGAATTTCTGCCCTGTTTGCGCCGTATTTAAGTTTTTCAAAAAAACGTGGGCGCCGCGACGGGGGGCATCTCACCCCCAGCTCGCGGTTTAGCGCCGGTGCGCTCCCAGGGGGCGATTTTTAGCCCCTCCTGGGGGGCCAACGGCTGGAGATGCTCTTAGATGGACAGTTGTATCCTCAGCCCAGAGGGTTTAAATCATGGTGCTCTTATTTACTTTTGTATTTATTTAAGAATTTTCGGCGATGCGCGTTCAATGGAAAGAGACTATCCCGTTGACTACGAGGCGTCTTTGATGATTTCGTCAATTTCAAAATGATATGTCAATTCAGTCTCTTAAAAATTCTTGATAGGAACGAGAGTTTTAAAAAATAGTCTGTTAGAAAGATTCATTGGATGTAGCAGCCCGTGACGGAGCAAACCCATCCTTATCGGCTGGGCGAGCAGGACGAGGCGAGTGCGTGGCCTGGTTACGACTAGCCACAATGGAGAGTAACATACACTACACATAATCCTAGACTATATTACTACCTTCATAGTGGGTAGTATAACATAAGTGTGATGACATGCAAAGCTTCATTTATTAGGTTATAGACTCATATTGCATTGAAACATGTGATGTTACAGTAACTAGCTAAGTTATTCAAATCATCTCTTTCATTAACTCATTGCCACATAAACAAATCTACTGACGTTAGTTCTTAAGTTACTCCCACTGTGACTAGTCTAAGGGTCGGTAAGCGACCGACCGTGCGTTGATCAGCTAGCTATAGTCAGCGCATAGGCGTTCGAGTTAAAAAAAAAGGGCGCATAGGGGTTCGGTTTTGGCCGGTTGGTACGTACGTGCCAGATGATGCGTTGCATGCGCCCTACGTGGCCACGCCATGAATGCACGCAGTTTATAAATGCTCTGGCTCCAAACTCGACGTCCGCGATTGCCGGGCCACGCCAGAAGATCGTCTCCACCGTCGTCGCTTCGCCGTTGGTCCGGCGGGGCTACATATACTACCATCTTGTCGATGGGAACGCCACACCACCACCATCTTTAGTTTAACTAGCTACAGTTAACCAGCCATGACGAGACGCGCTGCAGCCATCCTGATGTTGACGCTCTCGCTCCCGGCGGCGGCCCTCCTCGTCGCCGCCGTCGACGTTGCTGTCGACACCATCCGCCTCCCCAGCGACGGCGGCGAAGGTGATGCATCAAGATCCATCAACTTTTAAATCTCTGGCAGTTCATTTAGCACACTGAGCACCTACGTCGTTCGTTCAGGTCTCACAACGAGCAAAGGAGGTAAGGAGCAGACACTCCCACTGCCTGACAAAGTAGTGGCGCCGAGGGAGGGGAACGTCGGCGGCGTCCTCGAGGAAGAGGAGAGGCCGTGGGCGTGCTGCAACAGCACCGTCTGCACCAAGTCCATGCCGCCGACGTGCCGGTGCCTGGACGAGGTCGAGGAGTGCGCCGCCGCGTGCAAGCACTGCGAGCCGTCCGGGTTCAACCCGGCCTTCCACGTCTGCAACGACCAGTACCACGGCGACCCAGGGCCGACGTGCGCCAAGGAGGAGAGGCCGTGGGCGTGCTGCGACCGGACCGTCTGCACCAAGTCGTTCCCGCCGACGTGCCGCTGCCTGGACGAGGTGGAGGAGTGCGCCCCCGCGTGCAAGCGCTGCGAGCCGTTCGGGATCAACCCCAACCGCCACGTTTGCAACGACCAGTACCACGGCGACCCCGGGCCCAAGTGCGGCAAGGACGATGACGACGACGACGACACCAGCGGCTCTCCATCCCTCGCCGCCGCCACACAGATGCAGTTGCTGCTTGTTTCTGTGATCTTGTTGTTTGTCCAGCGTCCTTAGATCCCTGCGTGTGCTAGCATCGTGTCAGGGTACGTGAGATGGCGCGTTCTTCACGGATCGTGCTGCACGTAATAAGATTAGATTCGAAATGTTAGGGTGTGTCGAATAAGAAAACAAGAAAAAGTCACATGTGCGTATTTTCCTCTCTATTGTACTCCTTTGTGACGAATAGATAAGAGCATGGTCAATAGTACATAAGAGCATAGTCAATAGTGCAGTCGGCCAATGGTGCCACACCATCTATAGCCAACCTTATAGCCGGCAAATACAATAGATAGATATAAAGATGTGCAACTTTGTTAATGCATGACCCATCTTCCATTTCTCCCGTTCTCACATAGTGCTTAGGAGCACATGTGCAGCTGACTTTTATTCTGTAGCCGGCTCTTCTTCTCTCCTCTTCTCTCCATTCCACGTCAGCACAAAAATAATATTTTAACTTTTATAGCCTGCTTACATAAGCTTATTATATACTTGTTCTACACATTTGCTCGGCTGAGGCAAGGTGGCAGTGCGCGCGGCAGCGGAGGAGATCATAAATTTTTCTTCTTCTTACTCAATTTGTCGATTGAATCATTCATTTACTCAATGTTACTCTACACATTATGTCAGCACATGCTGCCATGATGTACCATAGGATAGAGGGACGGGCATTTAAGTACATACATTGTTGGATAAAGTTGAAGGGGCAGCAAGTGTTGTACTAGACTTATCTTATGTGCAGAGTAAAAAGGACCGGCAAGAGTATGTGAAGGGGCAGCAAGTATTGTACATCCATGTACTAGACTTATTTGCGTATTATGCAGGGATGATTTGTGATATTTTATATCCGAACTTTGATGAATGTTGATAAAGTTAAAGGGGCAGCAAGTATTGTACATCCATGTACTAGACTTATTTGCGTATTATGCAGGGATGATTTGTGATATTTTATATCCGAACTTTGATGAATGTTGATAAAGTTGAAGGGGCAGCAAGTATTGTACATCCATGTACTAGACTTATTTGCGTATTATGCAGGGATGATTTGTGATATTTTATATCCGAACTTTGATGAATGTTGATAAAGTTCAAGGGGCAGCAAGTATTGTACATCCATGTACTAGACTTATTTGCGTATTATGCAGGGATGATTTGTGATATTTTATATCCGAACTTTGATGAATTTCGTCTGGCTTGCATGAATTTCTTCTGGTTTGTTGAAATGTGGTTGCGGTTTCAATTGTATGCGGGCAACTTTCGATGGCCGGCTTCCGTACCTAT